CTGCATGAACTGACTTCAGAGCATCGTCTTTATTGGATCTTGTCAGTAAATACTTTTAAAGGACCCAAAGGAAATAAAAACAAGAGTTTCTTATCAGAGAAGCCTGTCTTCTGTACAGTGAGGGACCTTTTTGCGATGTTCGGGAGTTTGTCCAGGAAGTTTGTATTCTGGGCACAAAGCCCCTCCAAAACAAATCATTCCATCCAGAGCCACTTGGGAGAATAATACACTCAATAGCGTGGCACTTCCGTGGCTGGCATAGTCATGGGAGGCGACAAAAGCCCCGGGGTGGTGATTTAGTGAGAACCTGATACTGGAGCATATGGCCTCGGAGCAGGCCGGCAGACAGACATGGAGCAGGACTGTCCGGATGAAGCGAACTTCTCTTAACTTTACAGAAGTCACCTCCATGTTAGGGACCTAACGCTGGCTGGTAGTCCAGTCTGGTAGTTTATGGTAGTGGGGAATAGTTTCTGCTGACAGATGGTGTGTCAACAATTCAGTAAGATGAAGTACAGATGTTCTGTAAAGTCTAATGCACATTACACGAGTTTCAGGGGTGCACAAAAATCTCAGTTTGGTATGTTTTCAAAACATTTAGAACATTACACTACTTCTTTTTTCTGTCTTTCTTATTGTAATCACTAGTTTACTAAACATACTGTGGCAGATTGCAACCTACTTGTAACAAACTACAACTTACTAAGAAATCCAAAAAAGGTGCAACATTTAAGAAATTAACTGCATAACATATATTTCACTTGTATACACAGAAGCAGCTTTCAGCGTTGCATTACTGCACGCGACAGAAACATTCTCTCAAATCTCTTTAACTGCAGCTTTTGAGAAAATTAACTTCTTGAGCTGCACCTTCAGAGATGTCCACCCAGACGCATTAAATAAGTTGTGTATTGTTAGCTTGTGTTTGTTCATCAAATGATGCCATGATCAGAGGGAACTTTGTAGCTGTACTCGATTACTCTCAGCAGAGTTTGGTCACGTATCAGCTGCTTTAAAAACACCCTTATCCTTTGTCAACTCCTTGACCTGGTCTGAATTGTTAGCAAGAGGCTAATTAAATGCTACAAGGAGCTTTTTCTTGCACCGCTGACGTTCACATTTGGGTGAGTTCAACATCCAACCAGCTACGTACTCGATCGCAGTTGAACAATTCCTGCATACAGCTTTTGTCTGATCCACCTGCCTTTTTCTATCGTCGTTGTAGTTAACTGCGAAACTGTAGTGTTCCCAAAAAGACAAATTTAAATTTCAGTGGAGGGGTTTTCTGTTCTGGTTGGTTTGCGTTTGCAATAAACTACCAGGGGGAAGGGTTTCAAATTGAGTACTGCGCTTGCACGCCAAACTGAAGGGCCCTACTGAAAATATTTAGTAAAAATGCATTCACCGTTATACCCCTAATGAGTTTTACTACAGTTTGTGTGTCCCTTACAAGTATCTAAAGCTGCTGATGCTGTTATTATGGGTGGTCAACATGTACCACTTGTTGTGAGCTGACCCAGACTCTCACGACTCAGAGTTTTGTTGTCTGCCGTAACCAAAAACAAGATGTTTGTGGCTGTAGCTCCTTGGAGATGGTTCACGGACAAGAGATGAGCAGATTATTTGTTTGCTGCAGTTGCAGGAATAATCTTGTAATCAGCGCTGCTTATCTGATATCGCTTGTGGGAGTTGTGCACCTTCCAGTCAAGTAAAAACTGTCTGCATAGCAACTCACCAGGGGTTAATTTAGTCATTTGAAGCTCTCACTGTTTGTTCAGCGTTCCATTTTTCAGCGAAGGTTAGCTGTTCTTTTGTATCTTGTCCATGCATGCTTTAACAGCCTGCTCTTTTCAGCCTCTTGGCCCTTTGCCCAAGCAAATGGATTTTGCCTTATAAAATCTGTCATCCGGTCCTTACAACCCCCACATCTTCTTACCTCCATTCCAGCTCGAAGTTCAGTGTTTTTTTTTTGTTTTTTTTTACTACATCAGCATCCTACGTCTTTGTGTCAAAGCGGCACAAAAATGCTTGGGATTCGCACAAGATGGCAAATAGCTTTTATTCTCAAACAGCAGGGTCGTAAAGCGCACTCGTATGATTTCGTCTCATGGAAACCCTTCAACCAGCGACTGCATCCCGCTGTTTTTAAAGCGTCTCCCTCACAAGACTGTGTCATATGACTCAGTTTTCTGCTCGAAAAGTTCACTCCCACCCCCGTCCCCGAGTCTCTGAGCAGCTTTGTACTCAACTGTCTTGTTACAGGAAATCAATTTGAGGCGGGCGTTGCAGTTTGGAGTGACCATCGAGCTAACCTTAGCACACAGGCCAGGCCAAGGCTAATCAATGAGGCAGCATCAAGCAGGTGTAAACAGGTTTCAGCACTTGAAATTCTCTCCTTGCTGAAATGGCAGCTGCTGCATAGCTCCACTAATACATGCGGCAAACATCATTCGCCTTATATTGATAATTCTTTTCTTTTTTTTTCCTGCATAGAGATTTTCAAGCCTTACAATATAATCCCCGCGTATTTGTTTGTTTTCCAAATGACTTTTTGATATCATCTGTGTATCTTATACATCTCAGCAGCATCAGCATAATGTTTTATAGCTCTGCTTGTTCTGTCTCATCAGCAGAACTTCTTTTATTGTGCTTGTTTTTATCATTTATTTATATGCAGCCAAGCCTTACCTTGTGATTGGAGCTGCTGCGGAATTGCTAATCTAAGATCTGGGTGACTTTTGATGCTGCTTATCCAAAGATGTTGTTGAAATGAGGCAACAAAAAACACAAATAAGAACACAGTCGGAGTGTGCGGTGACTTTGTCCGAGGTGTGCAGCGGTTTTTCATTTACGCTGTTGAATGCTGCTTTATTATCAGCTGCGGCTCTGCCAGAGCAGGTTGTTCTTTGTCCCATTAGCTGCCCGTCCTGCGCTGCAGAAAGGCATTTAATCTGATAACGTCTGCTACAGTAACTCTCACTGTTGTGACTGCGCACGGGCAAACACTGCTCCAGTTTGCTTATGTTTGCGTTGCCCGATTCTCAGGTCCGCTTTATTCTGTTTACCGTCCTTACGGGGGACGCGCAGGTATTAGTCGCGCTCGGGTTCTTTATCTCGCAGCGTCCTCACAGCAACACGACTTGTTTGAATCCAAGTGTTGATGGACTCTTTAATGAAAGCCGTCGGTGCTGACTGGTCACTTCAGCTGGCCTCCCGTCCACATCCAAGTCCATGCTGTTTTTCAGCTGTCCTGAGGTAACTTTTGGAGCAACAAGCGCGCCATTGTGGAGCTTTCATTCTCCTCTCCGGTCGGTGGACTTTGATGCCCACCACTCAGTGACGCAGTGAACCCCCTCTAATGAGACCAGGGACCGACCCATCGCAGTGTTCATTCACCCAGACAGACAGCGACAACAGCTACTGGCACTACCGCTAAACAGCTTTGTCTCTGCTGACACCTAAACTAAAAAATCATCTCACCACCAGAAAAATCCATTCACCAAGTGCAGCTTTAGCTTTATGTCTCATTCTTGTTGCATTTCATAAGTCAAATCACTTAATTTAGTCCAGGATTAGACCCAGTTGGAGTCAGGCCAGCGCAAGCCAGATGAGCTTAGCCTACTTGCTCTGGAAAGTTAGCCGCTGTTGAAAAATCACCTTAATCATTTTCCTGAGCATTGTTAAACAGAAGTAAAGTTTCCTGTCAATCGTTTGATTTTACAGGTTTGTTGTAGAATCAAATGATTGACGCAAAACCTATTAAAAAGCTAACTTTCTGGTGGTGCATCTTGCAGCCTTCACTTGCTTGTGCATTGCGCTCCCCTGCTGCGATGTGAAAGTTTGCACGGTGTATTTGAAAGAAAAATAGAATCCACACACTGGGATGGATGCACCCAAAAAACTTCACTAAATCAATACCTCATGGTTAGTCTAAGCTCCAAACGTCACCATAAAGCAGTAATTTAAAAAGTTCTCGAGAGCATCTGTACTTGTGTGCAGACTATATTTTTCCAGATGATATCTCACAGATGCTTTTGTCCAGCTCCTACAACTCATCATATGGGTGTACATGTTATTTGTATGTTTTTTTGGCAATAATTTTAAGTATTCCCATTCTTTGGAATCTTTGAGACTGAGTCAGACTAATTTCTAGCTACCATTTTCCAAAACTTAAGCACTTAAAGTCTTCAGAAGGACCAACAAACATCATGACGACTGTATATTTTTTGCACGTTATCCTTTGCATCATAAACACTGCACATACTTTTTTCCACACTGCAACCCTTTTTGCACTCATATTTTCAGTAGTGTCTACCTCAGTATGTATGAGCAGACCTTGCCTTTGCTGCTTAATTTATACACTTTTTCTCTGTACTCTATTTACACTGTTCTTGCATATTTGTTATCTCACCACGTGTGAATAGATGAATGGATTCTGTAAATATCACAACACGAGGTAGAGACACAGCAAACTAATTAAATTTCATTGCACTGGTAACTTTAATTCCTGCACATGACAGTGAAGCCGTCGTGTCCTTTGAATCCTGAATGCAGCTGACCAACGACTGCAGCCAAAAGTGACTGATGTCACGATGCAGCAGGAGCGTAGTGACACAGCAGAAGATTTGCTGCAATGAATCGAAGCACTAAGAAATACTGCGTCAGTTTGAAATATATCACATTCACACTTGACAATCCCGACGGTCGTCCATTGGTGTCCACCGAGCAGCAGATTGGTTTAATAAGATGTTGGAGCGAATAATTAGTTTGTCATGGATGATTGGAATAACTATGTACAGGTGTTGTGGATGTCAAATTTAAAATGTCTTTGCAGATGTTATCTTGTAGGAACATGAGCTACTTTTTTTTATATACAAGGCTCAGCAGTGAGAAGTTTTTTCCTCTGTGTGAACCCTCATAACTGTTAACCCCATGCATTATTTAAAATATGACTTAACTATGCCGACATAGAGCTGATAACTTGTGTTGTGTTTCTCCAGGAGGCTTCTCCGTGGTGTTCCTGGCTCGTACGCACAGCGGCGTCCGATGCGCTCTCAAGAGGATGTACGTCAACAACGTCCCGGACCTGAACGTCTACAAGAGAGAGATCACTATCATGGTGAGAGCGCTGTTGTTTTCTGTAGCTGGAGATGATATCTTTAAACGCAGATGAAGTCTTCCTGCTTATCTTTTATTGCAAGCAATTTTTATTTTCTGTATTCTTACTACATTCAGTTGTTATTTATTTATTTATTTTTTAAAATTGCATTAGCATCAATCAGGCTGTAGGAAATTCAGATTTATTGCTACCTGTGATCAATAAGCACAAGCACAGCACTGTGTAGAATGGTCTGCCTGCACCTCTATTATCATTTTGCTATAGTGAGAAAAACAGAGCGAGTTTAGGGCGAGAACAGCAAGCACAGATGTTCACTAAAAACAGCGATGAGGGGGAAGGTTTCGGTGGAACATTTGCATGCAGGGAGGCGAGCGCTGCTATTAAAATAGAAAACTCAACTCCAAAAAAAGCTGTGTAAAATGTAAATGAAACAGAATGTGATAATTTGCCATCTTTTTTTTAAAACACACATTCAATTGAAAACACTACAAAGACGGTATACTTTATGTTATCGACTTTGATTTGTCCTTGTCAATATAAGCTTATTCTAACAAAGTGGTAGACATGCCCTGGTCAGAAATAGTTTGTTCTTGTAGTTAAAGGGATTTTGAAATTGTTCGCATGTAGATAGCAGAAGGGGAGGAGAAAACTACAAGCTTATGCACACACAATCCACATGCAGAAAGTCAGACTAGTGCCTCATCAACCTTTACTCAACGTGAAATTTACCCGCATTGTGAATTAAACACCACTTAGAGGTGAAGCAAGTCTTAGCTCGTCGTTTTATTAATCTCCACACGATTTATACTCTGATGTTCTGTTGCAAGGCCAGACTAATTCTTGATGCTACCCAGTAATCCTTCCCGGGCTATAAAACAGATTTCTCTCCGTTAATTTGAAGTACGCCGTGCTCACCATCTGAAACTTACACGAGGGCGTTTTCAGGTGTTTAATTTGAGCACATCACTCCTGTTTCAAACGGGACACGAGTCCTCATAAAGAGACGTTCTCTCATAAAGCGAGGTGCATATAAACGGCTTCATTTTCGTCTTCCTGCCCGGCCTGCTATCCAGCATTTCCAGTCTGGCAGGAGAGCGAAAGGCTTTTGGCTGCGCGTCAGGTGACATTGTAATAATGCACCTGGTCCATTGACAAATACTTTTGATCTATCACGCAGAGCTGGCACGGGCGCGGTAACTCAAGGTGTTTTATGTCATTCAAAGCTAAATATTCCCAATTATTCTGCAGACAAGCGCGACTTGGGCAGCAGCAGATGTCTCGTCTTGAACGTTTGACCCCGGCATGTCAGCGGACGGCTCACTCTGAGCTGTTTAGCCAGCTTTGTGAGTCAGTTCGCTGCCTCCTCATCTGGAACAATGTGTAGCTCTCACCCACACACAGCTGACCTTAAACACTGACACAGTTCCCGCCTGTTGGGACGTTGCCTAAGGTGTGTCGGTTTCCACAACACACAGCGCTCTCCCTCTTCTTCTTTACACGCTGGCATTTAACAGCCAACACACACACACACACCACGATGCTTTAATCCGGAGAACAAATCAAGTTAAGAAAGATTAGCAGAGTTAAGAGATCAGCATGGTGTAAGAACATCAAAGAACACAAGAAAACACGTTCTTGCCACACACACAGTCGCTCAGCGAGTCTGAACTCAGCTCCACGTGGGTGCAGTCAATATTGTTTCTAGATTTTCACTGCTCATAGATTGTAAAAGCAGTAGGTGTTTATATTTACCAGGGACTAGACAGTCGGTTTTTATTGTTTTTATTCTTTACGGGTTGTATGTCTTGAATGTAGTTAATTCTTCTTCAGCTAATTTGATTCCGGTGTTTGCGAAATCCAGCAATGCACCGTGACATCTGTGACTAACCTTACATGATTAACTCGTCTGGCCTCTTTAACCCTCTGAACTCCAAGAAGTTTTAAAGTTATAAAGTCCTGCACCTCTATGAAAACAGCACAAACATGGCCAGAAGGAGAGCGAGTAGTATAACAAAATGCAATATATCAGAAAAGAAGCAAGAAGGGCCGCCGCTATAGCTCAACTGGTTGTGCTGGCAACCCATGTAATGGGGCTATAGTCCCCGACGCAGCGGTCGTGGGTTCAAATCCACCCCATGGCCATTTGCTGCAGCTCCCTCCCTCATTCTTCTCCCCACTTTCCTGTCTCTCTCTCTAGTGTCCTGTCCAATAAAGGCAAAAAGGCCAAAAAATAACTTTTAACAAAAAAAAAAAAGAAAAGAAAAGAAAAGAAGCAAGAAGAATTTCTTTGACTTTGGACACTATAGATACTTTACTACTTATACTCTCAATTTGTTCCCATCTGCTATGTGTAAACACAACCTGGAAGCCATAATTTTTGGGTTTTAACTGAATCTGATTAGTGCAAATAGTCTGTTTTGGGTGAATATTTAAATAAAAACTGATGAAATGTCACGATTTTAAGCTTAGACCTAGATTGTTTTCACAACAGAACAGCAGATGCTGATGAGTAGTTCAATGGCCTCTTGAAAGTTGAAAGTCTGACAAATTATTCCAGTTTCTCTCTATGATAAATGGGGAGTAACATGCCTTTTGAACTCAGTCGTAAGTTTGGGATTCGAATGATTAATACTGAAAACATTGCTCATCTCATTTTAGGTTTATTTTTGGTAATTAAAAAAATAAAAGAAATGTAGAAAGAAGTAATTTTGATGAAACATGAGTTTAAATTTGTTTCTCATCACACTTTGACTAGTTTAACGACTGTCGTAAAGTTGAAAATCTAATAAGTTCTCAAGTTTCTGGCTTTGATAAATAGTGTAATTTTTTAGTCAGTGGGTTTTGTGGTTCGGAGGATTAATGCAGCTCATAATTGTTGCATATACGAGCTGAGCAGAGCTTTATTTCAAACTGCGGTTTTCAGGCTTTGCTTTAATTTGGGCATCGAGCGGTGCAAACGCAGCAGAAACACTAGACGTGTCCAAACATGAATCAGCACTCACTGAAAGGAGCTGAGAAGTGTTTGCCCAATCCACCAAACCTTTGTCATCACATCAAACACTGCTTTGTGGGTGTCTAACAGTTACATCGTTCCATATTCCTTTCTTCTTGCTCAGTGCTTCTGATCATTTCCGTCCTGATCATGTTTTTTTAATTTTTTTTTATCCCGTCTGCAGAAAGAGCTGTCGGGCCATAAGAACATCGTCGGCTACCTGGACTCAACAATCAATGCGGTGTCGGACAGCGTATGGGAGGTCCTGATTCTGATGGAGTACTGTAAAGGTATGGCCTCGCTTTGTTAAACATGTTCTGACAGGACCACCGGGTTTCACACTCGCAGTTCTCTACTTTATTGCAGATATGGTTTATACCTGTCGTGTCTGGGTTTTATTTTTGGTAAATCGAGACAGATAAATTCTATAAAAACCCGACTAGAGTACAGGAATTTTTGTCGTAGAGTTCTGTCTTGTATGTTTTATTTCCTGTCAGATATTGTAGTAATAATAATGAACGATCACCGCTTTGAGAATTGCAACCAAAAAAAAAACAACCCCATTATCCATCGCTCATTGGCTCAATACAGTTCCAACATTTACCAGCTGTCTTGGTTCGGCTGGACAGTTTGTCTCTTATGCAACACAGGGGGGGGAGAATCAGTTGTGTGTCATACGCTATAACCATTCCCCTGCTCCAGTTAAAGCGGCCGGTATACGTACATTTCCGTTATATTTTTTTTAACATGCCTAATAGCTTAATGCTTTCGGCTGCCTCCGTCCTTCGTCTGACCTCCTGTATTGATCACAGTGGCTCAGCATGTTTTTGTTTTTTTTGGGAAGCTGTTTTAACTAGTTTTGCCCTCATCAGACAAGTTTACATGCAAACATTTCTCCGGTTGCTGAGAATAATCAGGTCAGATGAGCTTTTACGTAGCCCAAACATGTTGGTGTTTGTTTTCCAGCCTGAACCGACAACCTGTGTTGAGTTTGTATTCAGAGTGTCTGAACTTAGATGTTTGAATGGGATAACAGACGACAAACTTTCATGGAAATCTCACCTAGAACATGTAAAAACTGGAATATTTGTCTTTTGAACACAGCAAAGTACATGTCAGGTAGCAGTGTAATAAAAACTTGCACTATTTTTGCTGTATTTTAGGCACTAGGTAGATGTGTGGGGCAAGCAAAAAGCAGAGTCCTACTAGAAAATAGTAAAAAATTAGATTTATTTTCCCTTCATTTGGAATATCAGTATGCACAGACTACCTTAAAAGCAGATGTGTACTTCTGTAGTTGGCATCAACCTGTGGAATTCTCTACAGACATTTTTAAATGTTGTAAAAATATTTTTCATTTCAAGAAAATGTTAAAAAAAGAGAGAATACTATATGTCAGGCTGTCAGAGCAGGTGTTTCTCTATTTATAGGTGACTTATTGCATTTGGCTCTTGAATCTTGTTTTCTTATGTTATTGTAAATATTAGAAGTGAAGCAACTTACCAGACTGTCCTTCTCCATTATTTATCTATGTTTCGAGTCAGGGGGAGTCGATCAGAATTTTACTTCTCTGCTCTTTTCGTAGAATGTGAAAATTGAATTGTCTTCATTTTGAATCGCTGCCTTCTTCCAGCTGTGCAGAATAAATAAGAATGAAATTGTAAAGCTTCTTCTGTGTCTTGCAGCCGGTCAGGTGGTGAAGCAGATGAACCAGCGGTTAAACGTGGGCTTCAGCGAGGCCGAGGTCCTCCACATCTTCTGCGACACCTGCGAGGCGGTGGCTCGCCTTCATCAATGCAAGACGCCCGTCATCCACAGAGACCTCAAGGTGAGGAGGGCGTTAATCTACTTGTTAATTAGCAAGATGACCAACAAGATTTTTTCAATATCTTAAAATGACCCCAAATTAAAACCATCACGTATTTATATGTTCAGTTTAGAGAAATAATAGTACCAAATCCTCACTATTTTAGAGGCTGGAAATAGAATTTGTAGATTTTCTCGTTGATAAATTACTTAAACCGTTCATCGCTGTTGAATAATGTTCTTCATAGAGACTGATTAGTGAAATAACCAATCATTTAAGCACTAACCTAATCAAGCATGGCTCTTTTATAATGTGATTAAAACCCAGAGCTGCTGACTGAAGGTGTAACCTCTGGTCAAATCCTAAACATGCTGTAAAATGCAAGGTGGCAGCTAATACGTGGTCATTACGGGGAGCCATCTAATTCCTGCATTAACAGTTCTTAACACTGAGCATGTCTGGAAACAGGAGCAGAATCAGTACCTTTGAAACATTAAAGAGAAGTGTCTTGCTTACAAGTGATGTTGATGATAATCAGCTGATCAATTAATTGCTGTTAATAATGTAACCGATTAATTATATAATAACTGATGAAGCTGGAGACGAGCATCATGTATGTCAGGACATGTAGCTAAGATATTAGCTGAGCCTTGCTCGTGTTTAATGCTGTAAGTGACCAGAGTCATGTTGGCAAGCAGAGAGCATTGTGGGGGTTTAGCTCGTAAAACGGCACCATGACAAAGACTTCTGTGATGGTTAATGACTTCAGGCCAGAGATCACATTCTTAAGACAAGCCACAGTTTGCCAGACAGAGTTCCTGTGACTAGTCTCAATTAGCCAGCCTGTTCTGCAGAGCATCTCTCTATACCAGTCACAGTCGTTGTGGGCGGAGCTAGGCGATAGATGCAGCTTGGTGTTCCCTCAAAATAGTGATGGGGAACAGTTTTGTTAGAACATTTGCATGCAGGGAGACAAACAATAACACTGGAATGGATAATCCAACAAAAAATAAGTGGCGCTGACTTACTGCTGCTAGTTTGGTAGCCGGGAGGTTGTTGTTGTTGTTTTCTTGTAGTAAAATGGATTCTGACATTGGTAACAAGTAGATAGCGAAGGGAGAGGAGAAAGCCAGAATGGACGGCCAGTGTAAAGCTTATACATCTGGTGAGACTATTAAGCAGCAGCCATTTTTGCTGCGATTGAATGATTGATAATGCTACCCATTCTTGGTTAAAAAAGGGTTTTAAAATGTGCAACCCCCTATATCCCACAACCTCGTCAACAGAAACCTTTCCCCCGAAAAAGAGGACTCCCTTCGTTCTGTCGAGAATCAACAATTGATTTCCCAATCACTAAATCAAAACGAGGAACTTGTGGATTTCCACATTGACGTTCTTTTGTTTTCTTCAGTATATTGTCAGATGATGTTTGTAAACTGAAGTGATGTAAATGTGCATGGTCAGCAGAAGAGCAGGTTTCACTTCAGCGCTCATGCCAACTCCTCCACTTCCTCTTATGCTCCGACGCTTCCTTTGCCGGCTTATTTCCGCTCCTTCCCCCTTTGTTTGTTGCTCATCCACCACCTTTTCCTCTTTCCCCCTCCACCAGAGTTAAACTTTGAGGCCCCAGTGGATGCTCCGTCTTGAAGAGTTCCTCTCCTAACTTTCAGCTAACTCGATTTTCACAATGGATTTCCAATTCACCGGGTGGCCAGGAGCCAGGTTTGCCCTCATTCTGCTGATGCTTAGAGGGCCGGTGGTAATTTCCCACCCCGGTTGAATTCTCCTCAGTGCCCCATCAGTGGGCCGCTGTACTCCGTCCAGTTGGACAAGCCTCTAAACAGTGCAGTCCCTTCAGCTCCACAGGCCCGTCCTCTGTTCACCATCTATCTGTTCAGCCTACACGGCTTACATAACATCGCAGGGACACAAAAGACCATGGAGGCTCAGTCACGCATCGCCAGGGGAAGTGAGAGTGCAAAAAAAAAAAAAGGCCCCTTAACCCTGAGCTGTCAACAGATTGAGACACTCGGCGTCGCTTTCATTTGCTCGTTTTTCCCTCGGACGATTTAAAATCTTCTTATCTTCTGTGTCACGTCTCCCACAAAAGCTTTCTTTTTTTTTTTTACATCTCATGTCCTTGTTTTCATCTCAGACGCTCATGTTTTCAATCTTTTCCTTTTTTTTTTGTTAGCATTTACTCTTCAATGGTTTCATATCACGACACAGACGTGCTATCTCTTCTCTTTTCTGCCCTTAAAGCACAAGTCGTGGCTTCAAACCTGCAAAACTGATTTTTGCCGTGTGTATGTGTGTCGTGATGAGGTTTGTCAACTTTCTAAAAAGCGACTTCATCCACCGATTGTCGTTCTTTCCCGTTATGGCGTAATTGGCGACGAGCTCCGGGTTGGCTTGTTTATTCATCTGTCTTTCACAGACTATTTTCAGAGTCACAGCTGAGGTGATTTTGGTGGAAGGATGCGCCTCAGTCGTGACTTTTTTCTAATTTGTACAGACTGCAGATCGTCCATTAGGATCAAGCTCGTATTTGGTTATTTAAAATGTATGTTAAACAATTCGAATGTTTTATTTTGTTTTTTTGGCCTCTGAAGGCTTTTTTTTTTTTCCATTGGGCAACTGATTACCTTTTTGTTCTGTGAAGTAACAAGGGCAGAGTACACGTGGTGAATGTCTGAGCAGGTTAGACATGTAAAATATTAAACCTCAAACCAACATATTTGTTTAAAAACAAACAAAAAAAAGACAGCAGTTGGGAGACTTTCGAAACTAGAGGTTGATCGATCATCAGATCCAGTACTCTGCTTTTATTTAGTTGTCATTATTTGTAAACTGTTTGTTGATAAAATGAATAAATTTGCAGTCCACAGAGCATTGTCTCATTGGCTACGAAGTTCTCTTTTAATGAAACACGGGAAATTGTTTAGTATAGAAACACTGCTGGACCTTGTGTTGTTCTAAAAGTTGACTGTAAACATGCATCGCTTCAAAATATGGGTCAAGTGTTTCCTCGATTGCTAATAAACTTTTAAATAACCATATCGGTTAACCTCTATTCGAAATGTCAGAGACTTTTACTTTCATTTCCAGTTCCAATAACAGCTCTGCGTCTTCAGTTGTAAACATCTGTTACTGTGGATTTTCATGATGCATTTTGGGCTTCAAATGTGGATCCAAAAGTTCTGGGATTTTGGTTCTGTCATACCACCATAGGAGACGCTGTACGAGTCGTTCAGTCAAGACAACGTTGCCTTAAACTAAATCTGTAAATGAGGTTTAGTTAGTGCATTTTCTTAGTTTTTGTTGTGTTTCTATGTGTTTTTTCTTTTTTTAAAAAAAAAAGTCTAAAATCTCCGTCTCTTCCTGCACCAGGTTGAAAATATCCTGCTGAACGACCAGGGGAACTATGTTCTGTGCGACTTCGGCAGCTCCACTCACAAGGTTCTGCTGCCACATAAAGATGGAGTGACTGCCGTGGAGGACGAGATTAAGAAGTAAGAGTTCATCCATCTGCACGTTAGGAAACACATTAGTTGTTAATATCCACCAAAATTACTTAGAGATACCTGAAGAGTTTGTGCGACTGAAACTAATGCATAGGTGTTGATAGATACGTGGACAACTGGAGGGAAGGTTCTTGTTTCCTGTTCACATCTCTCATGAGAAAAATGACCTTGAATTTCGCTGTTACCAGGTCCATTTATTCAGCAGAAGTCTGTCGATCTTAACATTATAGCTTTCTGATCTTGGAGGTCAACAAATCAACCCGTGTTAATCGAGCTCATGCCACTGTCTGGTTGGGAAAAATAGACCTCCTTTAAAGACATTTTGGTTTGTTGTAGTCGGAGGAGGAACAGTTGGAATTAACATTGGCTCAGTTCCGTTAAACGTCCCAGTAAGACATGACAGTGAATCAGAATGAACAAGAGCAAGATCTCCTCTAAGTGGAATGCAGCCATAATTCATACACTTGCTCCCTACTGCAAGTCAGAATGTCAGAAAGTTGTTGCACACGACTTGATAAAACCTGGGTCTGTATGTAGGTTGGAAGAGAGAGATTCCTGTAAATCGCAAAAATCAAAGCTGCTGATTTACCTCCAAAGGTTGCTTTGTTATCATGAAGTCTGTTTAAGGCTACCGTCCTAATCACATGACCTTTCACGGACACTGGGCGTGCATTATTGGTCGCTTAGTCCGAAAGCAAGACCAGAGATTGCCTTAACTGCACAACGGCTTTGAGTCATCCATGTTGAATTACCCTCTGGTGGTCAAGGCTCAGGTTAGAAGTTGAAGGACACTTGGAGGCTGGTTCATACCCAGAAAGGAAGGGATTGAGGTTAACGGAGTCACTGTTTGACTAAAACACAATCCCAGAGTTGTCAAACCAAGACGGGGTCAGCGGGGCTTCCAAATGTCACGACATTTTAGCCGTCCTGAGACGCCTCAGTGGTGTTAAAGTTTCAGAAATGTGGACGAAGTCCGAGCTGGGAACTGTGACACTCCTTTGTGGTCACAACCTCTGCCCTCGGCCGGGCCTTCAGCATGTATTCTATTTGCACAACGTCAAATCACAGCAGTCCAGTCAACTCAGGCCGATGTAACTTTCCCACATTTACGGCTGCAATAAAGTGCAGTGCGAGCCGCTTATCGGCCGTATATGACGGTGTGTAAACTTGTGCGGGTTACACAGAAACTATCGGGCCTTTGAACTGTGGAGGCTCACATGGTCTTTTTTGCGTTTTCATTACTCACTTGGGTTTATTCCAAACGCAGGCAGCTGCTTTGATTATTATCGTCAGAATGACCCTGAGGAGAAACAAAATGTTTGGTGAAAGGCGAACTGGGTCACCTGTGCCGGCAGATTTAGGTCATTTTCATTTTCTTAAACAAAAGCACAAGAGTCATTGAAGAAAAGTGCATGTAGCAGCAGTGAATTCACTTTTACTTGAAAAAATCTAGACGTACCAGCATTAAAAAAAATCCTCCATTCAATGTAGCAGTCCAAAAATTCAAAGTAGTCGTGGTTTACACTTGAATCTTTAAAAATAGAAGCACCTACTAATGCACAATTCCTGTCAGAATGCTTCCTGTCTATGTGGATTTGCTGGATTAATATTAAAGCCGCTGTGTCAATATATCCATAACACCGTAAACGGTTCCAACAAAGTGACAGGAAGTGCTTGTAGCAGTTACCAGCGGAGAACCATCAATTGAATCTGCTGCTCTCCGGGCTTTGTATTGATTTTGGCCCATTTGTGTAGCTGTCTGTCATCTTTGGCCCTGTACCCACCTGCTACTGTTAGCTGGTGAACACAGTGGAGCATTTTGCATCCAAATTGTCAGATAATTCCCTCTGCAGCAGAGATAAAAAATGGCTAAAGGAGTGAGTAATGGACTCGCGTTTGCCAAGTGGCAAGAAACACAGCTCTGAAGGAATGTTTTTGTAAACACTGTCTGCTGACAAGTTTGCAATGTAGATGTAAAAAGCAATGTAGCCCTCTGAACTCCAAGCAGTTTCTGGGTGTTTTTAGTCACTGTGGACTCCTTTTTACCTGCAGTGTAAAGTCCTGCACCTCTATGGAAACAGAACAACCAGAACTCGAAGTAGAGAGAACTTGAAAAGGTCTTCTCTACAGTATACCAAAGTTTTTTGCCATAAACCATGAAAAAAACAAACACGTACAACATTTTTCCGTGCGTCCATAGTTGTTATTAATACTTAAAAAAAAAAAAAAAATGCTGGCCTTACATCCTACAGATGTTTTACTTCTTTCGTTCTTTTCCCATATCTGTCTCCTCTCTGTATAGTGTAAACACTGCCTGCAGTTCAGCTGAAAAGTTTCTGAATTTTTGTCACATAACTGTTAGTTAATGGCTTCTTGAGTGCACTGAGGAGCACAGCTTTTCTGTTTTCTTTGAAGTTAACATGCAGGGATTTATGATGCATAGATGTGTAACCAGCGTTCGAGTGTTGTAGCAAAGATGGAGCAAACTTTACTTGCATATCTTTTTCTATCACGTGTTTGTATCTGAAATAATAACAGGCAACTATAGCTGTTCAAGAATCAATTGAGTAAACAATGCAACATGTCCTTCTTGAAATGTTGCGTGTCAAATGAGTAGAAACACAAATTTGATGAGACACTGCGCTCATGTGCTGAGTCACCTGAACTGATGGCTGCTTTTTGTTTTCGCAGGTACACAACCCTTTCGTATCGGGCGCCAGAGATGATTAACTTGTACGCAGGAAAAGCCGTCACCACTAAGGCTGATATATGGGTAAGGGCCCGCTGTGTGTGTCGATCAGTATCTCTGTGTGTGGGCCTCGCTGCACCCTGCGAGGCTGGTTTGTCCTGAAAGCTTTCTGGGTGTCGCTCTGCCCCGACAGGTTCCTCCTCCCTCCATCGGCTCTCTCCCGACTCGCCCCGGGGCTTGTTTGCCTCCACCGGCAGTGTTTCTCCTTCATAAAACATTGAGCAACATCACTGACAACTGAGCCAGGCTCCATCCTGTCCCTTCTGTTTTACCTCCGCTGGAGATAATTAGAGCCGGTCGAGAAACCCTGATAAACTCGTGTGAAATCGACTGTTTTAAAAAGCAGGAACAAGAGCTTGGACAGCAGCCATTTTTAGGGAGCGGTGTAAATTGGAAAACCCAGGGAGGTAAAACAGCCAAAGATGAGGCGGTTGATGAGATAAGATGAGATAAAACTTTGTTAATCCCAAAGGAAAGGCTTGTGCCAGATATTAGAAAACACAAAATGACATATCATAAGAACTGCAGTGATTAAAAAGTATAAGATATAAGTACAATACATGACTAAAATGCAGTAAGTCAACAAAAATAAAGCTGAAATAGAGCCCTAAAAAGTAATGCTGGCAATGATAATGAGGTAGTATGTAATATCACACATGAAAATGAAATACTGCACCTGAAGAACGAGATAAAACTGAAATTTTCCACCTGAAAAATGAAATATTATACATTCAAAACAAGATGAAAATGAAATATTTCACCTGGAAAAAATGAAATAGTGCCCTGAAAATTGATATGACAGTGAAATTTTGCACCTGAAAAATTAGATGCAACTGAAATATCGCACCTAAAAAATATTACAACTGACAAAAAAATGACATAAAATTGAAATGCTGGATCTAATAAAAAAACGAGATGAAAATGATAAAGGAGATAAAAATGACATATTGTATGTGAAAGATGCACTTAAAAATTACATTACAGAGGAAAATAAGACATTGCACCCTAAAAACAATGCGAAAATGAAATCTTCACCTTAAAAATTAGATACAGATGAAATAGTGCCATGAAAATTTCTATGAATATCAAATTTTGCACCTGAAAAATGGAGGAAAAATGCAACTGAAATAATGTACCTGGAAAAAATATTGCACGTCATAAAAAAAAAAAAAAGATAAAAATGACACATTGCACCTGAAAATGATATGAAAATGGAATATTTCCCATTACATTTACAATGTTGTTCATTCAAATAAAATATTACTCTTGAAAATGAAATACTGCACCTGAAAAGTGAGATGAAAAGCAAATTTCGCCCATTACATTGAAGATAGTGTCCATGCATGTGAGATATTGCACATGCATTTAACATACTGCACATGAAAATGAAATGATATTATGGTGCGGCACAGAAAAACGGACGCTGGACGTCGACCTTTTCATGCTCTCGTGTTTCGCAGCTTTAAATCAAGACATCAAAAGCTGATATATGTACGTAGATTAATAGATGAACAAACTGAACTTTAAATCTGCAACAGAAAAAAAAACCTCTCTCCAGCGACCCCTCCGTGATCCCACATCCTGCTCTGCAGCCATATTTTCTGAGCCGTTTCATTCACGCAAACGTCAAATTCGGGGGTTATTGGCGGCTCCGCTGTCGGACGTAGATTAGGAGTTTAGCATCAGGCCGGATTAGCTCGTTGAGCGGAGGATGGTGAAGAATATATGTCTTCAGATAGAGTGCTTAAAGAAAAACACTCCCTAAACGCTGTGGCTAATTCCAAAGTCTCTTTCATCTCCCAACTTGCATCATCAGCAAAAAAAAAGAAGAAGATGGAGACAGAGCCAAATATAGCTCTAAATGAATATAAGATTGGGGAGCGGAGCATGTTTGTGCTGGGGGAGCAGACTCCGGGAGTGATTTTAAAAGCAGCTTCTTTACCAGGCGACATGAGGAACATTGACTCAGTGGGGAGAGAACGGCAGCTCCGTCGTCGAGGTCAGGACCATCAGGATCCACCCTGCTTCACATGCTAACGTGTCTCCAGTGTCTGTGATTGGTTTTCCACATAAATCTCTATGTAGTCTTGTGGAAGAAGCACAGATTCTATCCTAGACTTGGTGGTCATCTTTCACATTTCTTTACTTAGTCACAAGGACAGCTATTAAGAGGTGCAGATTCATATTTTGGGGTTTTCGCTGGTGTGATAAGCTGATATTTTCCAATATATCGACCATTTTTTCTATCTAATTGCAAAGAAAATTAAATAATATAGCGAATGCAGCACCTAAAATGTAGAAAAGCAATAAAACATGACAGGAGTGAAATAAGAAAGCTAAAATATGGCTAGAATATGACAGTATAAAGTAATGCTGGCAATGACACTGAGCTGATGAGTCACATTATGATGACTTATTGCATACGAAAATGAAAACTTGCACCTGAAAAATGTGATGAAAATGAAACATTCAGGACCACTGGCATGTTAAGTCGATGTAAGAGTGTATTTTTCCTGTGCTTTCAGTATTCATGATTAGCTTGGCACATAAAAAAAAAGTAATCTTGTGAAGAAAAAAAAAACAGCACAGATTCTATCTTAGATTTATTTTCTGGTGGTCATCTTTCATATTTCTTTTATTTATTACCTCAAAACTGTTAATTAATCTGTGATATGCTCATATTTTCCACCTTATTTTTGATCAAATGTTGACATATTCATCTATTTTTATTTTATTTCTTTACATCTAATTGCAGAGTGAAAGCCTCTCCTGTGGTGGAATTGGAAGCTGCAGATGTAAAATAAAATGCTTTTCAAATATACACGCTTTCTAGACAAAATAAGAAAATTACTTCAACTTAAATCTGCTATATTTGTTTTTAATCTAACATTTTTAAACAAAGTGTAAAATTTAAGCCCGACACACGTTATCTTCCTGTCAGTGTGCGGATATTTTCACTTTAAAGCTTTTATTTCCCGACACATGATGATGACGATGATGATGATGCCGCCAGCTTTCTCATGCAGCCCTATTAAGAGACCTTTAATAATTCAGCAAATGTGCTTTTAAAAGCGGTCCGTGCTGACTCAAGGTAGTGAGGGGGGGATTTCTGATCACTGGAAGTTTACAGAGTTAGTTTCTCAGAAAATAATGTATTCAAACCAAGACTTTTTTTCCCATTAGCAGTGATGTTGCTCTTTGCTAAAACTTTTAGCAGCAAACCTCAAACCAACATGCAGTGTACCACTTTTATGTTTTTCTCCATCTTAACTCTATTAATGATGAATGCTTTTACAGAGACAACAGTGTGCTTTTTGATTCTAAAGACAAAAAAAATTCAATTAGTGAAGTACATTTAAAAAAAAAAAAAAAATCAAGAATAGCATTAGCAGCTTTCCTCCAGTAAAGAGCAGCAGCTCAATCACAACAACATTCTCTCACTTTCAGTTCAGTGCCATCCTGTTTCTTTTCCGAGTTAACACGGAGAACATACATGTGGTAATCTTTCTTTGGGGAACAACAATCTTGGAATTGACTCGCTCCCTCTGACCGTCCACATAACTTGTGTTACATTCGTAGAATTTTTTTATTTGCGATTTAAGACTGAAAACTGAATTCTGTCAAATATTCTGGCTGAGTGTCACATGATGTAGGACCTGGGAGTATTTGTATTTTCGCCCTCTACTTCAAAAGGTTCAGTATCTTCAGAAATATAAATTCTTTCCAGTAGGTTGAAATGATTAAACGGCTCTAGCGGAGGACAACATTTTAATTACAGGCTATTGAACATGTAATAAACTTTCGGGGGCCCTAATAACAACCCTTGTTTAACAATTATGGAATTTTGTCTCATCTATAAAAGCCCAGCGATTAAAAATTCAACCATTTTTTGTCTGTGTATAAACGTTCACAGGTCTGAAGTTCTCTAAATTCAGCCTAAATGTTTTACAGACCTTGTTTTTGAGTCCCAAATAACTGAACGAAATATTCGACGGTGCAGCAACATATGTAGAATAATTACATGAATGTTTGCTTCCCTTTTGTCTCTACTGATTTGTTGTTTAATTACTTTTCAGTTCAGTTCATAAATCTTCTTCTTTTAGCTGCAGTTCAGCAACTTCTAAACAGGAAGTGTAGAAAACAAAAGCAGCATGTGTTTACAAGCTGCACCGGTGTTTCTAATTGTAAAGTTTAGTAGCACTGTCTCCACATGTGGCACGATATGTCATAAACTTTCAAGTGTTTAAAGTTGTTTTCAGTTGCTTGATCAAATATTTCCTATTTTTTAATCAAAGCTGTGATGTTTTTAGATGCAGAGTTCCACTATGGCGGCTTCACGTTGAGACAAAATGAGATGGTGTTTGTCGTACATGCATCAAAAATACAGCGTTTCTGGAGAAGTGTTGTTTATATTCCTCAAAGACAGGATTTGACAGGAAGTTCACGGCGCCAGAACTCAGGTGTCGCGTTGGCACTCAGACGTTTGAGGCGACGCGCGGCCTCTTGCAGTAACTGGATGCAGGTGTTTTCAGCAGACTGTTTGTGTTTTCTCTCCGCAGGCACTTGGATGCTTGTTGTACAAGCTGTGTTTCTTCGCGCTTCCATTTGGGGAGAGTCAAGTTGCCATATGTGACGGAACCTTTATCGTTCCAGATAACTCCAAATTCTCCTTCAAGTTGCACTGCTTAATCAGTAAGTTGGCTGCAGCACGCAGACTTTCTGGGGCACATTTATCTTTTTTCGTGTGTGTGTATTTTGATTAGGAGTGACTCGTATTTCTTCTTGCTTCTTGTTCTGATGACTTGAAGTGCTGTGTTAGTCATTTTTCTCCCATTTTTTTCACCTTCTGCTGTTCTGAGAAGGTATATTTGAGTTGAAAATTGAACTATGCATGAAAATATTTACACAGAATACAGCATAAAAGTTTAGAATTTCTTTTTTCTTTTTTTAGATTACACATATTTTGATTTGCTTTTTTTCTCATTAGCTAGACTGTAATTTGTGTTTTTCTCTCTGCCGTGTTCACCCGCAGAGTGTTTCTTTGTTATGCATTTACACAACTTGAGCCTGTTTGAACCAGTCAGAGTCTGTCAGTCATGACAAGTTATTTCACTTCCCTCAATGCATCCTGCAGCGGAGCTTCCTTTTTTACTTTTTGAACAACATTAGTCCTGCAGCTCCACCGTGTGGCCAACGTGAAGCGATGCACACTAACTTCAGTAAATGAGTTTGTGTGTTGTTCTGCTGGTGTTAAACAAGATTCTCTGTCTTTTCCAGGATATATGCTCGAACCGGATCAGGAGAAGAGACCAGACATTTACCAAGTGTCCTACTTTGCCTTCAAATTAGCTGGAAAAGACTGTCCAGTGCCAAATCTCTTTGTAAGTCTGCACACTTGAATTAATCAGTATCTCTTCAGCTACTATGAACTTGTGCTCATAATTTTCCTGTGGTTTTTCTAGAACTCTCCCATCCCTACGTCGCTCCCGGAGCCACTAACAGCGAGCGAAGTCGCTGCTAAGAAGAGCATGACGAAAGCCAGGTACTGCTCCTCGTTTTATAGACAAATAGAATAGAAAATTCAAAGAAGGCTGTACCAAAGATGCTGATAGTTAATCATTTTCAGGATGGTACACATTGCAATCCTTACATCACATGTTAAAAGATTTGATTTAATTGTAGTAGTGTATAATGCATGTTTATTTATGTAGCACTTATTAAATCAAGCTGACAAAGTGCATTAAAACAGTAAAATGGTCACAAGCATGTAAAAGAGGAACAAGATAGCAGGTGATATAGATTTTTTAAGGAACACTCAAAGGATGAAATACAAAAACAAGGGTTTAGTTACAGTTAAAATAGTAAATCAGATCAACTTTTTATTCATATGTAATTGAAGTCGTTGCATAATAGCATCACACTCTCCTCCACATCCCCATCTGCCTCATGTTGCCCCCTGATGATGGGCACAGCAACAAGTAATTCTTCATAATGCACAATAAACAAAAACCTGTCCTAGTTGTGAGTGTTCATATAATGTACAGTAGTGAGTACAAAGTAGGTGCGAAGGAACACACGAAGGATAAAATACAAAAACAAGGGTTACAGTTAAAATAGTACAAAAAAATCCCAAGATAAAATACGGTTAAACACTGCAGCGAAAGACACAAGAAGAAGAAAATCAACTTGTGATTCTTTCTTTCCAGGATAACGGAGTCCGTGGGTCCAACAGAAACATCCATAGCTCCGCGACAGCGACCAAAAGCGGCCAACAGTAACGTCCTGCCTCTAGCCAACACTGTCACCCCCGTCAAGATGACCGTGCCTTCAGCACCCGTCAGCAACGGCCAGAAAGGTGAGTGAGGTTTACATCCGCAGAAGAGTGCGACGTCTCAAAGGTGTTTTCTTATTGCAATGCAAAAACTAGAGAAGAAACTTGAACTTAATCCCGGTAACATGGTTCTCTTTGAGGGTAGAAATGCTGAAGTTTTCTGATCTGAACACACAAATAAGTCTAAATTTAGCCAAAGTATTTTATACCCTTGTATTTTGGGTCCCGAATAACAAATAAAATCTGAGAAGCTGTGTTAGATTAACGTCAGCTTACCTTTCTATAAATATCAAGGTGCTGCCTGCGTGTTCGTCGTCTCAGTCGTCTAATTTTTGTTGTGTTTAGTTCATAAATCCGTTCTGTTCTTACATCTATTTCTATCTGAATTATGAGTATTTTTGTTTTTTTTGTTGTTTTTCTGCTGATATTTCTTAAATGTTTGGTTTAAATGTCTCCTTTGCTGCTGTAACAATGCAAACTTCCCCACTGTGGAATTAACAAAATCATATGGGATCGTATTCTTTCATGAAGTTCAGATAACAGCACGGAAAGTGTTTCTTATTATTAACAGCTGCTTCTAGACAAGAATTACAGAAAAAATAAACAAAGTGTGTGTTTGCAAGTCACGCTGCTGCAAAAAGTAGAGAAGAAAATGGAATTTAAGATTGAAAAATTACACATATTGTACACCGTTGTGCGTAAATTCAAAGTGATTAAACCTGTTGTATCACATGAGGAAACAGTGCACGTGTGGATTAGTGAGAATACAGTAAAATTCAGCTTTTATTATCTGCATTTATTTGGCTGCTGCATGAGTTTTGTCTTGATTTTTTCCAGTTTTTCGCTGATATGGTTTACTTGTCTTTGCTTCTACTAAAACCGTCTGTCCTCCCTCCCCCCCGTCCACTCAGCTCCCACTCCCGGCTCGGCGCAGCCATCCATGCAGCCGCAGCCCGGCAGCCAGCAGCACCGAGTCCTGCAGCAGCTGCAGCCCGGCGACCTGCGGCTGCAGCAGCTGCAGCAACAGCAGCAGCATCACCACCACCACCAACAACAACAACAACAACAGGCAGTGCAGCAGCAACATGCAAACGCACAGCAACTCCATTACCTCCAGGTACAAGTAATGTCAAGTGTTGTCACGTAAGTTATAGTTTTTTATAATGTTTATTTACTGTGCTCCGATCTGAGTCTGTTAGTATTGAATTTGTGCCGATAAAGTGCTCAAATTGCTTCAATTTTCCTTGAAAGTACAGTTACACAGGGAACATTTCAAGTAAGTTAAAGTAAATAAAATAAATCCAGTATTCTGTATTTGCTTGACAGTTGAATAGCTCTGCAGTGTGTTTGGAAAAATTGCATTTCTGTGCCCAAGCTGTTCCTTAATCTTATTTTTATTACAAAAAGTAAACAAACTTCCATATATTGCAGCATTGTTTTTTTTTTGTTTTGTTTTTTTGTTTTTTGTTTTAACAAAATCACAGGGTAAACCAACTAAAATATGTCTTCATAAATGCTCCTTTAACAATTTAAGTTGGTGTTAAAGCAGTACAAATACAATCACATGTCAGCTCTGAAGGGCTGTGATAGAGTAACGCTCACATTCAGTCGCAGCAACAGTTTAGTTTCAGTGTGAGCGCCGCTGTAGTAAAGCTTCTGTACTCAAGAACCTTTTTTGTAAAGCTAAAAAAGCTGCGTTTTGGTTTAAATCTCATGCAAACAGAAGCCAGTTGTGGCACTTTCAATGCAAAAGCTCACAACAACCCTGTGTTCTCTGTCAAAGCAACAGGCTGCTCATCCATCGTCATGAATTCAGTTAAACTATGTGTCATGTTTTTGGCCTCGCTGCTCTCTCAAGGAAATTAATAAATCTTGTGTATGTTGCCTCGGTGCAGCCATACCGTGCTTGCAAATTATTCGTTTTTAATCTGTTGCTGCCACCTTTAGAAATACTAAATATATTACAATTACAACTGGAAATCATCCTTTATGACACGAACAAAGAGTTTAGGTTGCCCTTAAAATGCCTTGATCTGACCAGGACATCCCCAGTTGTTAGTCATAGTAATTCTGGAGCCATCTGTAACAGGAAATGTGTGTTTCTAATCTGTTTTCCACTGTCCTCAGTACCAACAGGCTGTGCAGCAGTCCATCCAGCTCCAGCAGCAGCAGCAGCAGCAGGCTTTGCTCCAGCAGCAGCAGCAGCAGCAGCAGCAACAGATGATGATGCAGCCGATGTATCAGCAGCAGGTCGCTCAGGCTCAGGCTCAGGCTCAGGCTCAGGCTCAGGCTCAGTACGCAGCCATGGTGAGTTCAGCTGCCGAGGACGAAATACACGATCTGCACTGAGGTGGACATCAGATTAGCTCGGGGCTGGGAAGATTATCACCATGAGTCAATATCGATCATTTTTTTAATCAGCTTTAAAAAAAAAAATAAAGACCAGGAGTAAAGAATTTTTATTCAAATTAAACCTCTTGTCATTAAATGTCACCACTTTATCCTCATTATTAAGGTACACAGGTAATAATTTTAACATTAACAATGATTAATTTTACACGCTTAAATACAAATAAATAAGGGTAAAGGAGTTCTCTCGCCTCGATGCACATTCAAGAAGCAAGTTCATTTAAGGAGCGTCATGTCACACACAGCCAAATAAAAAATAAAAAATAAAACAGCAAATAAGTATGTAAACCTACAAAAAAACGCAGCAGCATAAAATGAAATTAATTAATATAGATAAATCAAAAACAGTACAGACGAACAGTACGACATTAAGGCAATTTTATAGAAGAATGGAAACCGATTGGCTCAAACAGCAGAGAAGGACAAAATGTAAGAAAAACAAAAATATGTAAAAGATGAAGTAAACAATGAAATAGAGAAAAAAAAAAGATAAGAAAAGTGCAGGCAAGTTTAATAAAACTACAGGCAGCTTCAGACTTTCACACTCTCTAAAATACCTGATTGCTTGAAAGCAGTGGAGAAAAGTAAAGAAAATCACATTTAAAAAAGCCTTTATGTGCACAGTGAAGCCGTTTTCTAAGATCCTGCAGGAAAACACTGGGATGCATCGCTTACGTGGAGGTGGTCGGTCTTTAAACGCACAACTACTGATCCCTGCCTGCATGAACGGCAACAAGAAGAAGGGCGAAGCAGCACCGAAACCAAGCTACGTGACAGGCTGTTTAAATCCAGGGAGGGAGCGCAGTCGGAGTTTATTCATACGACCAAATTCATACGACTCTGATCTAATCTAGTCACTATTGTTTTACGGCGCGGGCCCGTCCAAGCGTTTGATTTCAACGCCGTGACAGAATTATCCGAGCAGAAGACTTTTATCCAAAACTGCAGTAAATAGTTTGAGCAAATGACAGCGAAACACATGGAGGCGCAGCGTGAAATAACACGGAGCTGAATAATTTCATTTAATGTCAGAATGGCCCTAAGTTTGCTCCCTTCCGTTCCAAACGCTGGCAGCCAGTCCTCGGCGCTCCAGTCTCCTCGCGGTCGGTGCCAAGCAGCATTGGAAGCAGACGCTCAAACTTCCTACTGAATCTGTCCAAACACTCCGAAAACTAGTATTTACGCAAAGATACTGAATCAAACACACAAACACAGGTCCTCCAAATGTGCACTGCAAGGGCGGCGCAATTTTTAGCCCGTTTTTTTCCCACCGAACGCGCACCATCTGTTTTGTTTCAGAGGCAATCTGGTCCGAGCGAAGCCACGAGGGGATCGAACAGAGGGTGAAGCCGAGCAGTTTTCTTCTGCGTCGCATCCTGACATATGAGGCGGTTCACAGGCAGGGGGAGGAGAAGACCTCTCAGAATCACTCCTCTTATTCCCGAGATACCTGCTAAATGTTTTTTAAAAAGCAGCGATCTTAGACCCGCTCCTTATTGTGACGAAGACGCTGCGGATTCGTAATATGTTTTGATGACATCGGATCAACTTCACTTTAAAAGCACAAAAGCAGTGTGCGGAGGGAAGAAAATGAGTGCTTTTTAAATATGCATGGTTGGAAAAATATGTAAAATTATGATGTGAAGGAAAAAGAAGCTGTTAGAGGCATGAAATATTAGAAACAGGTGGAAATACGCAACCATATGTCACATATAACAGCTAAAATATGAAATGAATGAAAAATACTTTATTCATCCCAGAAGGGAAATTCAATGTGTAAATATCAACCTCATTATCAACCGTGTTTATTTTTGAGGTTTTTTTTCTGAATATTTGTAATTTAGACCTCAATAAACTCCACAAGGGAAATTGTTTTTTCACAGTAGCAAGCGCTTAAAATAAAGAATTATATAAGAACATACAAAAATGTGAGCAGGAAAAAAAAAGGATACAATACAAAAAATTTCCATAAGTACTATTTTACAATTCTTTTTTTTTTTTTTTTGCAAGTAAAGAATGACGGTCAAAAAACAGAAAATAGGTACTACTCTAAAATAAATACTACCGTAGTTTGGAACCAATACACGTTAGATGTAATGTTTTAACAGCATGTGACAGCAGAGAACCTGTCATTCATAACGAGGCTTCTTCATTACTCAGGGTGACTGTGACTCAATATGTAAAATAGAAATAGGATTGATTAAATTATCAACAGCGATTGATCAGTTTCTCCCCTCTTGTTCTTCTCTGTTTTCTTAATCTTTTGGTTCTGTCGTCTTTATTGCCCATTAAGGTCCAGATCTCAAAGCGTTATGAATTATTCTTTGCCAGATTCTGTTCAAGGTTAATTTGTGGCTGCCTGCTAACTTAACCGCTAGCTATTAGCATAGCATTAGCCACTGTGAGAGGAGCTGCTTCCTGGTTCGTGGTTCTTGTTCAGCAGACAGTTCCGAGAGACAGACAGAGGAGGCCGCATCAGACCTAAAGTAGAACATTTAATTTATCAAATATCAGCCACGATAATCAGCCAGGTCGATAATCAGTCTGTGATGGTGTCTGAGGTGACCTTCACTGTATTGACAGCTCACTTGATGTGTTCAGTTCGGTGCTCTATGTGCTGTTTGACTCTCATTCCCTCATCCCTCCCCCTCCACCGTGTCCCCGGCTTTCCAAAATCCAGAACTGGTTTCTAACAACATTTCATCATCATTGTGCGCCATGAAATCAATGGTCCGTCCCTCATTCCCGTCCCCCTTCTTCTTCTCCCTCTCTCTTCCTTCCCTCACAGCTGCACCAGTACCAACAGGCTTTTGTCCAACAGCAACAGCAGCAGCAGCATCATCAACAACATCAACAACATCAACAGCAGCAGCAGCCGCAGCATCATCCCGCTCAGCAGCCTCTCCCCTATATGTCTTCCCCTCTTGAGTTCCAGATCCCTCTGGGTTCCTATAATGCGACTACACCCACAGCTGGAACTGGACCTGCAACTGGAGCCGGTTCCGGCCAGATTGGGGGACCGTCACCTGTGGATCCCTCCTACACTAACCCCAGGTGACGTGTTTTTATTTTGTTCTAATAGTCGGCCATGTTTGCGAGAAATAATTGATTAATCAATGAAATTAATGAAATTCAGAGGGAGTTAAAACCATTTTTAAACGCTGACGTTTAATGTTGACTGAAATATCAGCTCAGAAATCAGAAATTTGAACAACAGACAAAGTAAGCACCTGAATGATAAAATAAATGGCGTAAAAAATAAGGATTTAATCTAAAATTACTGTTCAGTGATTGGCCCAAAAGGTCTTAAACGAGCTGTAATCTTCCACAATAGATAACCTATAACGATATTGATCTCTTGACAGAACACAAATAATATCTTCATAGTTTTATTCTGTTTTCACTTTGACATAAAAGAGTCTTTATTTTGTAATGTTTCTTGTCAAAAAAGACAAATTCCATGATTTGATGCTGAAAAGCAATCAAAGGAAAAAACCTCCAAGCAGGGTGAACACATTTTATAGACTCTGTGGTTAATGTTCGTCCAGCTGCTGGAAACAGCTGCTCAGCTGGAACCGACGTCAACAAACACCGTCGCTGCAACTTTATCAGTCCAGGAAATCTGCCAGCGTTTACTGCCACCTCTAAAATGGATTTATACTCGGTGCAGAGCGTCACACTTTAGTTGCTGGGTGTTGTTGGAAGCATGCATGAATCCAGCTACGGCTGCTCTATGCTCATAGGCGTCCACTTCCCGGCCTGCGTTAGCATTTTAACATCCTAGTTTAGCCTTAGCTTAGCATTAGCCTCAGGTAGCTGGCTAAACCAGAGAGCTGCTACAGACGTGTTTACAGCTTGATGCTACAGTTCATCAACACGGCCGCCACAGTTAGACAGCAGGGAGGTCAGCAAACACACCTGTAACTCCGTCTCATTAAACAGTAAGAGGCTCCACCTGGTGGAGCAACCAGGTACAACAACAAGCCTCATTTTCTGCTTTATAGGTTAAAATATTCAACGTTATTTCTCACAGTTAAGATCCCTAATCTAGACCAAACGCAAATCCTGTTCGCTTTAATTAAGTAAAACTTTCCCATACTGATACCGATCAGCAACGTAACTGTTAATATGCATTACTGGAACAATATGTGGTTTCTTTTTACTAAATTTAAATTCTGAATACCACACTGTGTTGAACTCAATATGTAAGGTAACATAATGTAGAGACCTGAGTCTGCACATCCCTTTTTAAAGCCAGGTTAACTAAAACTGAAAAATACAGAATGTTTCGGCATAAATAGAACCATGAGACACACCTTTTTCCTAAATGGTACACAATGAGGTTGATTCAGATATGTAGGAGCCTCCGTAGCCTCAGAAAGTACAGTTTTCTTCCTTTAATTCATGAAACTTTCCCTAAAGCCACCTCTGTTGTGCTACTTTGCTGTCATCACAACAAATGCATCAGCTGAAGATGAATCTGTGCGTAACAGTATTCGTTGTGTTCTCTCGGCAGTAGAAACCCTCTGCTCGCCACAGACGGGATCACTCCGCCTTCCCAGAGCTGCAGCAGCGCCGTCAGCAACCCGCCAGACATGTCGGGCTGGAACCCCTTTGGAGAGGACAACTTCTCCAAACTGACCGAGGAGGAGCTGATCGACCGGGAGTTCGACATGCTCAGAGCAAGCAAGTGCCGCTTTCAGTGATTCATTTTTTTTGCATTGTTTGTCAGTTATTAATGTCAAAAATGAGGCTGGGTTGGATCAAATTTAGCAGAAAGTTTGGCCACACGTCGAGGAACATTCTGTTTTGCTCTTTGCAGCAGGGAGCTTTTCGAACTTTGCTGCTCTTCATGAAGCCACTTGTTTCCATGAAAGAGAAGGAAAAAAATCAGACACACCTATCGGTATATTATTTTTGATCTGTGTTTATTTTATTGCAGAACAAATAGAGACAACGTTTTTGTGTTTTGAGCATCGTGCAGGTCTTGCTAAATGCTTTCTAGTGAAGTATATTTACCATGTGAGTCTGTATAATAATCACCATGATAATAAACTTTATTTCTGTGGCACCTTTCAAAACTGGAGCTACAAAGTGCTATGAAAAGCACTAAAATACACAAAGTATTTGATAAAACATTTTAAACATTAGTAAAGACAGTGCCACCTTAAAAAGAGCAAAAATAGAGCATCAGAAAAAGAATAAAGTAGAAACAAAAAACTAGTCTGATTGTGCAAAATTAGATTTTTAAAGATAATTCACCAGTGAAACCCACAAAACCTGCAGGTTTATTAGTTTAAGGCTATTTCCTAAATATTTGCACCCACTGGTGCATGTGTTCAGGGGTCCACATGGTTAAAAACAAACCTTGCCTCGGTGTTACAACTACAGACGATCTAATGATCTTCCCCCTGTGACCTCCTACAAACAGACAAACCGGTGGAGAGAACAGCCAGCGTCGAAACGGACCGAACGCCGGCCGCCGCCTCCATCGCCGCCAAGCCCCTCCCACCGGAGGATCTGTTCGGCTCCGTCCCGTTCGTGGCCAACGCAGGCAAGTCTTAGAGGCGTCTCTACCGTGAGGACCCAACACTGTGGAGCCACCTGCCCCCTCTGTTCCCTCTCCTGTTCCCAGCCATTAAAAAAACCAATGATCAGCCAGATTGTTGTTTTTGTTTCCTGCCGTCGGCTCGGCGGATAAAACATAAGGAATATAAGCGAGTCCTGCGCGGCTTATTTAGGAAGAAAAGCAGCAGGTGCATCGGTGAAGTGTTTAGAAGCACTTTGTAAATTCACTGCAGTCAGTTTAATACGGTAACTACTGTAAGAAATCTTTATGCAAGTTTAGCTGGAAGTCGTATATATAAATGTCACTCGATGTGGGGGTTTGCATCCCCCACGTAAAGTCTAGATCGAGGTTTTCATCATAAATTCACATTTTTCAGTGCATAAAACAAAACCTTCCAAGTCACTGTTTCCAACAGCCGGAGTCAATTCCTGCAGTTCCATCGGCACTAAAAGCAATATGAACATCAAGAACGTGGTCGGTACGAGGCGGGGCTGAGCGATGTTGTGGAACACGAAATGTACGCAGACTTTTAGCAGAGTAGGGTCCAAACTAGCCTCGTTTTAGCTGCACATTCTGTAGAATATAACGGTCTGGCTTTTAGCATCATTCTGCCACAGAGGAATAAAACGCTCGAGTTCATTTATGTTTCTTTAAACCAATCACAGACGTCGTGGGCGGAGCTGAGCAAAGGATGCAGCTTCAGTGGGTTTTAGTGGAACCAGAGAGGTGGGAACTGCGATCACAAGGAATTAGCAGAGCTGCAAAACTTGAATTTTTTTCAGTTGCTGCTTAAGGGTTCTAGTTGTTTCCTGTGATAAAGTCGGTAAAGGAGAGGAGAAAGCCACCTGAAACGAGCAGCCAGTGACTGGTTTAAACTGGGATTTTCCTCCAAACTGCTTATTTAATTCAAAATTCAGTGCAATAGAAGACTAATCAGATCTGAGTTGAACATGCAAACACATGCAGTTTAGTTCATTACAGTGGAGGTGTAGTGTTTTCTGCATATGTTACATGTTCAATACAGCAACAAGGATATATAAATAATAATAAAAAGAATATATAAAGGCAGTTTAATTAAATGTTCTGGCTTTGAAAGAGCCACAAGTGTCCTCTTTGTGTCTGTTTTCTATTTTTATGCAGCTGAATTTTAAGAATTTTAAAATAAAACATCACAAAAGGTATTATGAGAGCAAGCGAGGCTGAATAATTTCGCGAAAATTGCAATTTTTCTGACTTTTTTAAAAATCCAGCTTCAGTTCCGTCTTTATTTAATGAGCCATACCTTGTGTATCCTAAAGTGTGGCCTTTTGCGATTTGCTAATTGCTATTGCTTCCATATTCCGGTTTAAAATCAAAAGTGACACAATTCAGTTACGCTTCTCTTGATGAAGGGTTTTTTTGAGGTATTCATCTTAAACACAGAGTCAGACATTCAACATGTGAGTTGTTTTTTTTATCGGTTGTCGCTGCTTCTTCTCCGTAATTCTGCCGAGTGTGGTTAGCTTTCATGTTTGCTTGCTATTATAGAGATTTTAAGCTATATTTAACTTTTTATATGATCTTAACAATCAAGTCGAAGACAAATGAGCAAACATTTAGCTCAGACTACTTCCTCCAAACTCCTCGTTGAGTTGAAGCCCGACATCGCTCAGCCCTGGTGCTAATAAAATAAACTCAAAGACAAACACTTGAACTTCCAAAGTTGTCGTTTGTTTACATTTAAATCCTGTTAAACGTCTCCGGCCATCTAAAACCGCAAAAACTCCTCTTTTATTTTGTTTTGTTTTTTTTGTTTTGAATCCTCGATGGGACGAAGCCTCAAATGTTCTGGACGTGTGCACTTTACTGTGGAGGCCGATGTAACCCTAAATCTGGCTTAGACTGCATGTAGTTCATCCCCCTCCTCCCCCGACATGGATCATAGCCTTCGGTATAACAATGTGAATATCAAAGTGCAGTATTTCTACATATATTACATCGGTGGCAGCAATAAGCTTTCGTGCCTCTGTACTCTTCTTCCCGCTCCTTCAATGTGAATTGGTTACTGTTTTGATAGGCAATTTAGAAACGCTGTTTGTAAGAGTCATAGAGTATATTTAATGATAAACGGTATCGATGCTAACACTTGTTTTCTAGACGGGGGAGTGCGAGTAGGTTTTTTTTTTTTTCTACAGTACATTCATCTCTCGTGTCCTTAAAAAACGCGCAGGCTTAATGCAAAGTCCAGTGGCTACAGTTTAGAGTAGAATAAGGCAAGATAACGATGCAATATAACCCTATAAGCACTTGAATGTAAGTGTGGAAATATTTTACCGTCTTCACTTATTACTTAAGGAGTATGAAATTCTATCCGAGTTCCAATTAGATCAAGTGAAAAACCAAAAAAAAGAAAAGAAAAAAAACAAAAGGAAACCAAACAAGCAGAAGGGACTTTTGTACTGAATTTAAGATGCAGAAAGGTTCAACAAACCCATTCTGTCGGCCGTCATTCCTTCTTCTGGCTGGCATGAAAAAATTTGCTTGCAAATTTTTGATCAGCCTTTTTTTTTAATTTCCCGTGTTTGTGCCATCAGCTGGTTTATTTGAGTTTGCAGGTACATTCAGTCTGCACACTGCTAGCAACTTTAAAAAAACATCTTTCGTTTGTGTTTTACTCCATGCAGCTTCCTCAGAGGCAGAGCTGCTCTACCAGCACCGTCAATAAGATACTAAAAACCTACATGAAGAAAACGTTTGGTGAAAGCAAAACAGACGTGGGTTTCATGGCAGTGTTTGAATGTTTGTTCCCAAAGAAAGGCAGCAGAGATGGTCTCATAGCTGTGGATGTATGTTTGACTAATACATCCAAAGCTGTGTTCAAAGGTTCTCTCTTGATTCTCCACATGTTCATCTGATCGCCTCAAAGTTGATGCTCCGCCCTCAGATCACAATCAAGATTATATTAGAGCCATGTAATATTCATGGAGTTCATGGAGGCAGCAAAAATAAAAACAATCACGTCCTCAATTATGCAAAAAGTTTATAAGCTTGTTGGAGTTGGGGAGATGGAGGATGGAAACACCTTTTTTAATAATTAATCAACATTCATCTCACATGGTATCGACTCTTTCCATTTCTTTAATTCTCTTCGTCTCCAGACATGGTTAGAGTTGGCTGCTATCAGCTGACATGAAGGATAACTTGCAGAAAATAGAATTGCAAGCTGCCCAGTTTGAAAGCATTTTCCTCTCGTAGCAGCTCTGCCTTTGAGCGATATCTCAACAAAGACTCACTGGATGTGTTTTGAAGACTTTTGTCTCCTCGCGGTTGTGTCAAATTGCGATGAATGCCACTAAACCTGGTGTGCAAAAGTTGCTGGCAGTGTAGCTGCACATTCTGATCCTTTTATTGTGGAAGTCAATTGGTTTCCAGTTCTAGAAGTGCCTTTGTGTGGCATTTTTATGTATCGGACCAACAAAACTGACAAAGAGTTGTTTATGTCAACTTAAAGAAAAAAAAATCACTAAAATCCAGCTGGTAGAAGAAAAACGGTTAAATCTACGTGATGATGACTCGTTCAGGTATCCAGTCGGAGGTCTTATCAGTAGGGATGTCCCGATCAAGCATTTTATTCACCCAGTACTTCAATATTTAGTATCTGCCTCTATCGAGTCCTAATCTGATGCCATTATCCCCAATAATACACACTTAAAATTAAAAAAATTAATCCAGTGTATACATTTGACAACTGAATGGAGAAAAAAAGATGCATTTCAGCACCTCAGCTGTTCTTTATTGTTACACAAGTGGTCATGAACGTCGTTGTAAAGCTCCAAAAGAAAACCTGTATTCTCTACGTGCGCGTCAGGAAATGTATCGTAGATGAGCTGCAGTACCTGGTTGTTCCACCAGGTGGAGCCTCTTGCTCTTTAATACTGTAAAGATCAGAGGAGGCGTCACTCAGACTACAGGGAGTTTATGTTGGCGGCCAGAGAGCATTGTGGGAGTTTAGCTAGTAAAGGGGCACCATGACAAAGACTGATGTGACGCTTAATGACCTCTGCCATGTGTTAAATACAAGCTGGGATCAGCTAGGGCAGCATTTTACTGTCCTCGTGGAGCCGATCTAAAGACCCAGATCATGTGTCCACAGCAGTGTTCCGTTACTGATGATGATCCCGCCCATTTCTGATTATTTACGTCGATAAAATCCTGCCACAAATCACAGTCTTCCTTTACGACACCTGTGTGACAGTGGAAACAGTGAAAGAAACAAAACAACCTTCCTTAGTTGACATCAGGGTCGGGACGTCCCTTTTTATTTAAAAATCCCAGTGTTAGGAATCAGCTTCATAAGACTTTTCCTGATAGACCGACAGAGCTCGACTCCACTTTAGAACCCTTATTAATCAGATCGTTTCCTGTAGAACACGACCGGCTGGTGGCACTCTGTAGTGTAAACGTTGGTGGTCGTGCCTGATGAGAGCGTGCCGATGATTTCTGTCAAAATGGTGAACATTTTGATGACTTTTTACTTCTACCCATACAATCCTAAAGGGCTGTATGTTTGTTAATCCTCGCTGTGCTGCTGCTGTTCCGCCTTAGAGCAGCAAGTGAGCGTTTCCCCATCTCCATGCAGACATGAATCATTTTATCTGTACGAGTATGTTAAACTAAAATATAACCCGCGTGTTTAGCCGAAGGTAAGTTTTGTTTTTTTTTTACGGAGAATGTTGCTTCTGTTCCACTTCGTGCTTGCGCTCATATCACTGCCTGCTTTTATTGGGCCTCTGTGGGGAAAAACAACTGCTTCATTTTTGTTTTTTTGATTTGCTCAGTTTCTTTTCATGCTTCATTCAGCGAGACAGCCATATTCAGAAACATCTTGTTCATGTGTATTGGTGGATAGATCTCTAGTTGGAACAGGCGAACCATCAAAGCCAAAAAAAAGACAAGCGAAAGGGACGACCAGAGCCATTAACTGCACTTTATTTTATTTCTAAAGTGCAAAGAAAAATCCCCGTCCCGGGACTTTGTGGGATGAACGAGCAAACGTAGACGTTGAATATGTTGTTATATATTGTTTACAAGTTTTGTGTGCTTTCTCCTCTCTGTCTCGGGGCTTTGGTTTCCCCAGTTTGTAACCATACTTTGTCAGCTTTACATCCTGCAGAGGCGTTAGGAGCCTCCGATCGCTAAAAAGTTGGGAGTTTTTTTTATTTTTTTTTACTTTAATTCTCAGTAAAAGTGTTGAAAAATGTCACGACTCGTGAGTTTTTAGCCAAACCTGATAGCAGCAGCAGCAGCTCCTGGTACCTCTCCTGCAGAAAGAATACAACCTATAGATCACTAAGTTGTCTTATACATATCCTGTTTTTATTTTTGTTTTTTTGCAACAGACTATGTAAAAGGTCCTGTATCATACTGTGAGTGTGAATGTATTTCTTTACAGAATGTTACTGATAAATAAAAACAACACGTTCAAAATCAAGATTCACGTTGGTTCCTTTTTTATAGCGCCTTAACGTACCGAGAATTACCGAGTCTCTCCACCACTACACGGCAAGCAAGATGTTCCTGATGTTAACATGGCTGTCTTCGGTTGGTTTAATAAAGCAGATTTAATACACATTCATGTGTGTGACATCGATACATGAGCAGCTTAGAAAAGAAAAACCTCAATTTAGGTTTTTCTCAGTGTGAATTTTGCAGGTTTTGTGCATATTTGTTCACCAGATCTCCTGATATTTCTCTTTAATTTTACATTTTCATGGTTTCTTTCTGTCTGTAGCGTCAATTTAAGGCATGCAGTTGCAGGATTCGGAAAAGTAGAAGCATCCTTGTTTCCTTTTTTAACCCTCTGAACTCCAAGCAGTTTTTTTTTTTTTTTGCTCCCGTCATATTTTTCCTTGCTGTGGGCTCACCTCTTCATGCAATATAAAGTCCTGCACCTCTAACAACAACAACAACAGCTCAACCATGACTAGAAGTAGAGAGAAATGTAAAAATGTGTTCAGAGCAGTGCAACACACTTATGCTATGAATTATAGAAAAAAGGAAAAAATGAAAGTTGAATTTCTTTGATTGTTTATATTGCGAAAAGTGAGGGGAAAGAAGAATCAGTTTATTTTTTTTAAGTCTCCATAAAAGTTTACAATGTTGGGAAAGCAGCTCTCCACACTATAAATATTTTACTACTAACACATTTACCATCTCCACAAAGATGTCTCACCGTGCTGAATGTATCCTCCAACGCTCTGTTCACTATTTCTGAGCCATGCTGCATTTATTCATTGATCCAGTAGGTTTTATTTTCTTCTCTCTGCTCTGTGGAAACACTGCCTGCAGTTCATCTGGGGGGAAAAAAAATCTGCATTTTTGAGAGACTCAACTTCTCGATTGTGTCGTGAAGATTTTTTTGTTTTTTTGTTACAGGATCTGGTGCAAACATTTTATTTTTGGAGGGTTTTTTTTAAGGAGTAAACATGTAGAATAAAGTGATTTTGTTGAAACATGAATTTATCGAACCATAAGTCACGTGATAACTTTAAGGACAGTTGGGAATCTGATGATTTTTAACAGTTCCAGCTCTGGAAAATTTTTTTTTTTTCTTCGATAACATACCTTTTAAAACACATTTTGGGGGTTCAGACTGTTTGCATCTTGTCTTTGTCGTGTTTCTTTTATAAAGAAGAATAGAAACTCAAAATGCTGTAAGTAAGTTCACTTTATCCTGCACAGAATCACTCACCTGGCCTTGGAAATACATATTTCTTTAAAGAAAGTATTGATTGAAGCTGCATAAATGTTTATATCCTCATTTTTAAGACAGAGCTACTGTTTGAATAACAATCAGGTTATCGATCAGCTGATTATACAATAAAATACCTGCAGAAAACAGCATCCTCTCTGCTAATATTTGACCCACACAGGTAGCAATTCAGTAAAAATGTACAATAACAAGCTATCTGGAGTCAGTTATCTGTAAATTATTATTCCTTCATCACATCAACACAAGAATCCTTCTTTGTGTTGACGTGGAAATCCATTAACCTCAACCTGAAAGTGATTTATTACATAAAATGTAATGTCATTTGTTATTTTGACCCTCGATGGGAGGGAATTATCATCATTTTTCTACGAATAAATCCATTTTAATGTAATTCTCAGCAACCTTCCGGCTCAGTTCACCTCTTCAAACCAATCTGTGGCTGCTGCATGTAGCGTCGGCCCTCTGTAAGCTCCTCACATGCGTGTTTTCACCACTTATTTGTATCTTTAAAAGATCAGACGCAGCTTGTAATCCTTCAGCTTATCGCCCAAAGGAACGTGGACTAAACACAAAAAAAAAAAACGGCCGACATCTTCTCTCATGATTAAAGATGTTTCTGTTGTTGTGCGTCGTTCCGAGAGGTGAGCGTGATTACAAGTTGTAATCTGGGTGGGCCGAACAGATGCAGAGCAGCCCCCTAATTCCTGCATTCATATTATTTTATTCTGGTGTTGTAGCGCGGCCTTGTTTCGCTTCTCGACAACAAAGCTTTTGGCTAATCTGTCACCGCGTCCTGCCAGTTTGGACGGCTGAAGACGGGGAGAGGTTTCCATTTTCATGTTCACAGCAGGGGGGCTCCTTTCTCTGCGTTCTCCGTTGCAGAGCTTCCTCTAATAGGGAACAATAAATTGGCTCTTTGTGTGTGTGTGTGTGTGTGTGTGTGTGTGTGTGGCACAATTTATTTTCAATACAATTGGAGACTATCCACTCGCTAATTAGGCTAATTTCTAAGCTGCCATTATGCAAATCTCTTGGAAATAAATTCACAACAAGGCACAATTTTTTTTTAATCAAATGCCAAACACATGCAAGAATTTACAGAAATACAGAAGTGGAAATTAAAGAACAAAGCTTTATTATTTTAAAGTCTAAAGGGAATAACTGACTTAAAGCTTAAATCTTTTCACGGAAAGATTTGAGTATAAAAGCAATTTGGTGAATCTTGAAAAGCTCGGCGTCTTAGTTCTTCTTACTGCGGGGTCAGAGTTAAGAAGTCAGAGCAGCTTTTGGACCATATTGACTTTTGTGATTCTCCTTTGCTGCTCCTTCTGCTTCAAGATTTGACAAACTGTTGGCATTTTTTGTCGAAAGTATAAGCCGTGTAATCCTGATTCCAGTAATGCCGCGTAATACGGAGGTCGAAGGGGAATCGTAAGGAAATTAAGACTATTTCTTGGCTTTCACTTATTTTTTCATTTTACTTTTGGTAATAAAACATCTGCAACAATGTGGGGTTCAGAAATTACATGTTTCAACAGGTTTTTTTCCTATTTTTTCTGCAGGTACCGATGTGATAAAAGCTGAGCCGACTGCTGAGGAAGTTCCTGCCGCCGTCTCACCACCTGCAGAGAGTCTGCAGCCGGCGGCGGCCAAAGAGCACAAACCCGGTAAAAAGAGCGGCTGCAGACCAGGCGATGAGTCCGACAGCGACTTCGAGTCTGACCCGCCCTCGCCAAAAAGCAGTGAGGACGAAGAGGCGGAGGAGGATGAGGCCTTGAACAGCGAGCACGGCGATGATACCGAGCCGGAGAACTTAGGACAAAGGCCTCTGCTGATGGACTCCGAGGAAGAGGAGGACGAAGACAAGCACAGCTCTGATTCGGACTACGACCCCAGCAGGGCGAAGAATCGCTCCAAGAAACCCGCTGGCAGTAAAGCTGCGTCAACCAGGAGCCCTCGGAGGGATTCGGGCACAACCCTGATCACCCCTCCTGAGTCGCCCAGCGGCGCCAGAGCCGTGGAGGCTGTGGATGTTTTCGGTGCTGTTCCCTTCCTCGGAGGAGCGTCGCCCGTCGGGCCTTCGGAGAGCTCGGATATCTTTGCCAAAGCGCCTTTTAGGCAAGTCAGCCACGAGCAGCCGACTGGGGACGAATTTGATGTTTTTACCAAAGCGCCCTTCAGCCGGAACCTCTCAAAGTCGGGCAAGAGTGGTAGTGACGTCCCCATGGGCCAGACGCCGCCCATATCCCCCGAGGGCATTGACATTTTCGGCTTCTCGCCCTTCCAACCGGGCCCCACCGTGCCTCCTCCGACCACCTCCAGAAGCGCAGAGGACATCTTCCGGTCGTCCTATGAGGAGTCGGCCAGTCCTCAACAGCAGAGGCTGAAGCAGCGCAGCCTCCAGAAGCTTTCGTCACGCCAGAGAAAAACCAAGCAGGAGGCCACCGCAGGAGGCAGCAACGGCAAGCGGCACCACGGGACGCCGACTGGGGGGCGCAAAGGCAACAAGCCGACATACCGCACACCCGAGAAAGTCCGCAGACACAAGAAGGTCGGCCGCAGAGACTCGCAGAGCAGCAACGAGTTCCTCAGCACCTCAGACTCTAAGGAGAACATCAGTGTGGACATAACCATGGCTGAGGGGAAGGACAAAGGAGCGTCTCTGCCGGTGGACGAAGCCCTGTTAGACCCGTTTGGAGCCAAACCCTTCCATCCTCAGGACGGCAGCCGACACAGCCAGTATCAAGGCCTCAGCGACAGCAAGAGCGACATGGCCACAGCCAACGGTAAGTCCTGGACGGGTTCCCTTCATGGTGCTCTTGACGAGAGCAAAATCATGGATGACTTCGGGGCGGTGCCCTTCACAGAACTGGTCATCCACAGTGGACCTCAGCAGCAGCAGGCGCCGTCGCAGCCCGTGGACCTCGACCCCTTCGGAGCTGCACCTTTCCCCTCGAAGCAGTGACTTTTCCTGCGTCTTCCTGCTCTGCCAGTTGCTGTTAAACAACCCTGAAGCTTTTTTTTTTTTTTGGTTTGGGATCATTTTCAACCTGGAACGACAAGCTAACAATGTGCTTCTTTTGTAAGAACATTTTAATTAGTTTGAGTTACATAAACCTGAATCCTGTGGAGTGAACGGCGTTTCCACATATCTTTCAGCTGTACCTGTTTGCTGAAAAGCCTTTTATGCTGCATTTTAACGCTCATAGAGACATTTGAACCGAGACAAAACGGGAGACCCACTCAAAAATCGTACTGTGACTACAAAGCTTAACATTTGACCGCTTGACTTGCTTCAAAAAGCTCTCTACGGCCGCCTGCCTTCTGATCTACCAATATGTTTTTTAGCACCACAAAGCCTTACCTGAGCTCGGCCCTGCCTTGCTTCACAGTACCTCGGAAACCGCGACGCCATCAGCCTTCACTGGCCCGGTGCGTCGTTTGAAATCATTTGGGAGTTGTCCTTAACCACTTTGTTTTTATTAGACCTTTCTCTATGCATAATTTCACAGTAGTCTTTTACGCAGCCAAAGGTGGTCGTGATTTTTGTCGCATTACACTCGGAATACTAGAAGGGATCGAATTTTGTTGTACTTCCTTAAAAACGTTGGAGCTGTTAATTTGGGTCAGGTTAAAATTTAGGCTCTTAACTGTTCTCTTTTTTTTTTTCCTAGCAGTAAACTTCTAGGTAAGTACTGTTAATGTTCTCTGTTTTTTTCTATTAAGTTGCAACTCAACATGTTCTGTTAGAAATAAGAAATAAATAAAACACAAGGTTAGATCACTGGTCATTCGTGAACGTTGAACCCCAACAGAAGATCATTCGCTGTACTCTTATTTTCTCTGCAATGTAAGTGAACTCAGCAGTTTGGATCATTTTCATGTGAAGTGGGAATCAGTTGAAAGGTAACGCTGGTGGTATTTTATTTTTTGTAATTGTCCCATGAAAGGACCAAAACCGGTAGCAGCAACTTTTCGGTACTTGGCGATATCAATCCTGTCCAGTTCAGCTATTCCTAGGATCTTTAAAGGAGTCGTCGTTCCTACGCTTTTTTTTCTTGGAGGTGGTTTAGGAGGTGGATACCACACGCATGTCTGGAAACAGTTAGCTTAGCATAAGGGCTAGAAGCCGGGACATGCTGTGAACATCTGTAGCAACTCGTTAATGGAGTGAACTTTGCAACTGCTGTACATTAAACTAAATGGTGACAAATCTATGGGCCTTTATGCAACACACTGTTTCTTGGCATCGTCCTGAGTTTCCATAACAGACTTTCATTCTTGCGTAAGGTAAAAAAAACGACAAAAAAAAACTCAAGAGACTGATTTCTTCCACCTCTGGACAGCATGAAACATCTTTAGACCGCTCTCCTTTTTTTTCTCGTAGATGGCCAAAGTTTTGTTTGTTTCACCTTTTTTCGTCTTCGTTTCTTGTTTGGGGTTTTGTCTACTCTGTCCAATATTTTGACGTTCAGAGTTACATGTGCCCAACAGGAAGTCTCTTTGGCTGCAGTAGTTTTCACTTTGTAAAAAGTAAATGTTTTCACTGAAAACTCTAATTATTTCTTTAAAGACAGGTCCTGAGTGTTTAGTTTTCAACCAAACTTCATTGGTTTCGTGAAACAGCTGCACCACATGACTCCAACAGGAAGAAACGGTGCATTTAACAGGGACTATTTTCAGCGGCGAATTCATTAACATTTGGTTCTGTAGTGAGTCCAGTGCTACTGGCAGCAGGACACTGTATGTGGGATACTTTTTGGACAACAGTGGAGCTGATTAATTTATATCAAGCTGTGATTTTTTATTTTTATTTTTTTATCCTGTAAATGGGATCAATTCATTAGTGTTTGGTCTTTTCATGGGATTTGATGACAAAGAAAATGAATCACCAGACTTGGTCCTTAACGTGGGCCTTTCCACTGCACAGTGACGTAAACTGGCACATTTATAAAGGGGGGGAAAAAAACAAGACAACATTCAAATCCAATCTGTGATGTAATGTTCTGGTCATTTGTCTTCATGAATACACTCTTCAGCACCGAATTCTTCCTCTTCATCACCGGCCTTAAGCACTGCGTTCAGCTACTCAACCATCGGCACATCTGTTCAAATGAAACCATCGGAACCGTTTGATAATTTTCCATCCTCCTCCTTTTTTTTCCCACCAGGGTAAATCTGACATTGTATTTATCTGCTATACTGCTGTTGGATGCAATAAATAAAGTTTCATCTCAGTGATCCAAAGTGCTCCTGCAGAAGGAAGCTGGACTTGTTCTTGGTTCTTTCAGTTACTCAAAACCCAAAACTGCCTGTCGAGGGACGTCAAGACTGCATTATAAGTATCTGATACGAAACCCTCTCTCGTTTCTCAAACTATCTGTCTAGAATGTGAACATTGCTGTCCTTAAAGGAGTTTATCTTTTAGGTGCAGGTGGATGCTGAGTCCTGTCCTGTTGTGTTTGTTGTTCAGTTTCCTTTACGTATAGGTCTGTGTGCTCCATACTCCATCGGACTGCATTTACAACGTTGCTCAGCTTTTGTTTGGCTGTTTTTATTCTCAGGGTGAACCAGTTTCTGTCTCACATGTTTTTCCTCTTTTTAAGCTTTTCTAACAATTGCTGATGTTGTTCTTCATGTTGACTTCATGCCACCAGTTTTGAGCGCTTTTTAAACATGTGTACGCTCCTTTTCTTTCACCTCTGTTGTGGTTGGCACATTGTCCGCCAGGTTTTGGAAGGTTTTGATAACCTCCAGCTCATGTTTCAGTCGGTGTTGGGAGTCAAACAGCAAGTGCTGGACTGTGTGTGGAGGTTTCCAGTCATTTTTTTAACGCTGAGGCTTTCGTCTTCTTCGATGTGAACTGCATAGTCGGAAAAAGGCAGCTCGTTTGCCCTGAAATGAATCGAGTTGATCTGTTCTTGAAGGTCTCTACTTGTTGGGTTTTGATTTTGACCAAGATGTCAACCACATATCTGGACCTTTGGCTCAGAGTTGTTCTCTTGAAGCTCTGTCGTTGCTTGCCGGTTTGTCCATGTAGATGACGTTGATTTGTGACACGGTTTTGTCTGTAGAAACCTTCGTTGTTCTTGAAATAGGTGGGAGATGCCCAGCAGGACACATCTTATCAGGGTTTAGGTTGAGTGGTTTGTGTGGGTTTCTTTGTTTTCTTCAGTGTGTTATCTGCTTTTTGTGCAAGTAAAATGTCTGCAAATTTAAAGTCCCAGTTGTTGTCCCACAGAAAACTCTGCTTCTTACTCGCCTGAAACACCTCATTTGAAGTTTTCTGCCAGTACTTGAGCAGCTTCCTCTGTCAGTCAAGGTGTTTTTGGACATTACAGCATGTAAGCATGTTCTAGTCTATCCCTAAAACAAAGTTAGAAACCTGTAAATATTCTAAATATGGGCTCTCTAAAGAGCTACCTCAGATATTTTACGCCATGGTCCTGAACTTATTGTCCTTCACTGTAATGTCTCGGATCAAAAAAAAAGTGTTGCTGACAAGTGCAAACTGGATTTTGTTTGATGTTTAACTGTGATCTGTCATTTTATAATTTCTTGTTGCTTCTTGGTCAGAGCTCCCTTGAAAAAGAGATTTTGATCGCAAGGGACTTCCTGATTAAACTAGAAGAAGAAATGTAGGTGTACATGTGAAAACCAAGGTGTCATGGAAAGATAACATGGTTCCATCTTGGGGCCAGTTTTGCTTGTTGGACCTTTTGGATTAAAATTAGTGGAGTTTTAGATGCAATGTGAAGTATTTCCAACCGGAGACGTGTTTGTTATGGGTGATGCTGCTGTTTTGTGAGTCTTTAAAAGTCGGTATGTCAGGTTAAAGCTGATAAAATAGACATTCAATGGACAATTCTCGTAGGGTTTGATGTGGTTTCTAGTTCTTTCGGGTCTAAATGTTTGTCTTATTTCTTTATTGGAAAGCACTTTGGGTTGACCTCTGTTATGTTTAATGTGCTTTTAAGTTCTTGATGAATCTCGTCTCAGAGCCTTGGAGGTTGTGTGGTCAGTTGTGTCTTGGTTTAGAGATGTTGCTGCCTCTATTTGTCGGGTTGGAAAAGATGCTGCTGAAACCTTCGTCCTAAAATTGAAAACAAAAACACTTCCACACGTTTCAAACTGTACATGGTTCTTTTTATTTCGCTGTTCGATTGCTCAGGTATGAAAAATTACAAAATTTTCCCGCCGCTACAAAATGAGTTTTTAGACAAACAGTCGATGCGTCTCATCAAACACGAAACGCTTTAGAGAAACCGTTACAGGCAGCACAGAGCAGGTTCATCGCGAATAATTTAAACAACATTCTCCTCAGTCTAAAACATTAAATAAGCACACAGAAAACAACATTCCAAAATGAGACCACTGAACTGGACACTCAACTCGTGTTTAAGACTCGTAGGAAACACCTGTAATGTTTCCGCTAACATGGATGTGCTGCATTTTGGAATGAAGACATTAAAATCCAGTAGAAGGCAGCAGGGCTCGCTGGTTCTTGTCCATGTTTCACCTTCATCCATCAGTCCCAGGTTTTATTTATTGGTTCTGTTGGTTGTTTATGGAGTTATCTTTGAGGACTACTTTTGCGTTTCCTCACTAGATGTCCCTCAGATTCAGAACCAGTTGGTGTTTAGATCAAATCTGCAGCAATGGTGTGTTTATGGATCATTGTTCAGTTTATTCCAGCTGCTACTGTTGGAAGCTGCAGCGCGAGTTTTGATGGATGAGGGTTTGATTAAAACTGCTTAATAACTAAAAAAAAGTTAAAGGAAACAGCAAAATTCAAACTTAATCTTTACATTTGCTGAGACAGTTAATGTGAGCTTCAAAAGACGTGTTTTCTTGCTGATACCAGCTGCGATAAAAGAACAATTACAAGTCTTCTCTACATTTTTGTCTCACTTACTTTTCTTTTTTGTGGTAGTTTTTTTTATTTCCTACTCTATTCCAGACTTTATTGTGTGACGTAGAGTCATTTTCTGACATCAGTTTATTCATCGATACAAAAAAGCCTAATTGGCATTTTCTTTTCTATTCGTTTTTAAAAGTTTTGCCTCCGTATAGAGCAACAGGCAGCAACTCGAGCTGGTTTTACCGTCACAACCGGCAGCTGCAGACTGTTGGAGAGTCCATCAAATCATCTCGACTTCCTGTTTCATCTGCAGAGTTCTAAGTGGACTGGAGCAACACACCAACTGGTCACAGGATCGGAAGCAACGTGAAGCATATTTAGAGGAAATGCAAATGAAAAACGGTGTGAATGATGGTGAAACCTCCTCTGGAAGCTCTGCATTTACCTTCTAGACAGTAAAGGAAGCCAGCGCTAAGTGAAACCAGTATCAGGAAGTTTCACCTCGACTCACAACTTGCAGGTGACAATAAACACCTGGGAAGCCTCTTGGATGAAGGTAGAACATCTTCAAGAACCATAAAGAAGTCCAGCTGCCACATACTGAAACCCTCAAGAGTCACTTTGACCTGTAAGACTGAGAATCTCCTCCACAGACAAGCTACTAAAACAAAACAAAAGACAACAACCTTGAACATTGCACATCACCCTAAATGAGCTAGAAATACTGAGTTTACTGACAGAAGATTCTCCTTTCAGCTCAGGCAGAACACTGAGTCTGATGTCGTGTTTAAAGCGATCAGAGCTGCACAGTGTGACGCCACATGTTTAAATCAGTGCTTGAATCTTTAACAAAAACGTGACCCGACGTCAAACATAACTGTTGCGTACCTCAAAATAAACCACATGTAGAATAAGTTGATTCATGTTTTTATAGGTGCTCTGTAAAAAAAAAGTTAAATAAATGGTAACCAAAGAAGGAAGTAACAGCCTGGGAACAAAAAATAATAAATGTTCCAATGAATTTGTGATCAGAAATCAGTAGAAGCGTTCTTAATGTTGCTTGTTGCCTCTTTTCACCTGCAGTAAAGTAGGTTTTGTGCCAACTGTCAGCATCAGTGTTAGAGAACTCCAACATTAGTGTTTTCTGTCAGCAAACAGAGAAAACATAAACCAGAAAAGCAGCGAACGCTGAGCTGTGCAGCTCTGATTTACAGCAAATGTTATTTTGAACAAAGAGACGAAGCAGAAAAAATACAAAAAACATTCAGTTGTGAGTGTAAAGTAGAAACTAGGGCTTGTTTTTGAAAGATTCTGCTCATCGATTCCAGTAAAACCGCTTGGTTTTAACGTCATATTTCACAGTTTTCGACGTAATTTTAAAGGGAAAACACACGAGGCGTTTAGGGAACATCAGTAAATGCTACACAGACAGTCTGACACCCTGCAGGGTCAACAAACGCCAAATAGTTTAAGGAACGAAAACAATTACAGGTCCAGGTTGCACCAAAGCGTTGCTATAAAGGCAGTAAAGTTCATTTAATCAGCTGCATTGAAGAGCAGAGGAGTTGCTGAAACTCTCAGCGTTGCGTTTGCTGTCAGGGGGAAAGATTAAGCCCCTTTACATTTTAAACGCAACTTAGTGTCTGTAAATGTTAGCGGCTAAAATAAGCAAATGTTGATAAAGCACCTGTAGCGACTGTGATCTCTTTTCTGCTTTATATTTTGAGGTTTACTCCCTTAACGATAGTCCAGTCTCACCTCTAAAGCATTTAGTCGCAGCTTTTGCTAAATTAAGATGATTTTGACTTTTTGCCGTTTATCTGGAACCGATCAGCAGAACCAAAACGTTCTCATGAATACTTCTCGATGGCCGACTCCGTTTTGAACACATCAAGTTCTTATAGTACCTGAAGCTAAACTAGGTACGTTTCACCAACAGTCTGTTGTTCGTGCTGCTCAGCGGTAACAAACACTCCAAAACACAAACACTAAACGTAGAACACTGTGTTCCTCCACAGTCTTTGGTGTTTCATTATTGTCTGAATGTCAGTTTTTGCTTGTTTTCATCAGGATGAACAGTTTCGCCACAAACTGATTATCACGAGTCCATCAAAAATGATTCCTCACATTCACCGAACACGTTCAGTTAATTCCCTTTTTAAGGACATTTCATCTTTTCAGTGAAGGAAGCTCGAAGGCCTAATTTTCAATTTAGTGTCTTAAAAGCATCACTTTAAAGTTGAGCTACATTCAGAGCAGATTTAAGGGAAGATATGAAACACTGGCTTTAAAAATAAGTTACACAGCTGAAAAGTTTAACTCTAGAAGCCAAACTGTACACGAGTTAATCTAGCTGGAGCTACATGGTGTGTTTGTTTTTTTACAGGCA